GATACAGTCAAATAAACTCTGGCCTCCACTCAACCACTCCAGGCTCCTTGATTACCTTCTTGTCAATGAAGTGAACTTGACCTCCTCACCTACCCTGCTCATCTTCCCACTGTGGAAGCGCCCTTCTGTTCTCAGTATAGACCTCATGTGGTCTGGAAAGGCTCTCCTGACTCCCCCAGGTCTGGGCGGGCGCCTCTCCCCGGACGGCATCCGTTACAACTTCCTGCGTGCTCACCCGTGACCCCCACCGTGGCAAGGCCTCTGAAGAGTGTGACTGTGTCTCTCTTGCTCACGGATGGGTACCTAGCAGGACCGGCACATAGTGGGAGTTCAATACGTATGTATTGATGGATGAGTGAGTAAATGGGTGAATGAATAAAGTTATAAGTACCAAGAAGTGTTTTGCATTCGTTCAGTTCTTTTCAATGCTACCGAATCCAATCACTGGGTGCACCTCATTGTCTTAGCATTCCAGAAAAAGTGTAAAGCTGTTCATATATAAAAGTTCTGCAGGGACTTTACATTTATGCACAAAGTAAATCTTTTTTTTTTTTAAGGAAATATGCCCATGGACGTTGATGAGTGCGGGCTTGCAGATGAATGCTTTCTGACACGTGGCTGCTTGCTACCCTCCCTTCAGGGATGCCGGCAGATTCTCCCACCTGAAGCATGTCTCCCGGGACCTGTTGGTGCCCGAAGTTTCAAGATGACAGGGCCATTTCTTTGGCTGCAGATTTTATAGCCTCTTAAGTGGAAATACTGCAGATAAAGCAAGACATTTTATCTTTTAAATCATTTATGCTGCTGGAATGTAATGAAACAACTTCCTTGACCAATCTAATCATATATACTAATAAACAATAGAGAACTCTGGAATCTTGCCATGAAAAGGTGTCCAATCTCCCTCAAAGAATATATAGCAGTAACAATGAGAAGACAATATTGACAAAAACAGCCAAGAGTCATTAAACCCTGCGGGTCAGGCCGTGTTCAAGACCTTGGACATGCGCAGTCTCATTTGTCTGCCCAGCATCCCTCCGGGGTCGAAGCCACTGCTGCCATGTCTGCCTCACAAGCGGCTAAGTCACTGCCCTGAGTCACTCAGTTGGTGAGTTGGGATTCACACCCAAACCCTCCGATTCCAGAGCTCAGGCTCTGCATCATGGGCCATTTCTCTTATTCTACTTTTAGCCAGAGTGAAGGAAAATATGTTGCCAAGGGACCGATTTTGGTCAAGTAATACCAAATTATTTTAGAACGAATTTCAAAGAAGTAAACATCTCAAAGCTTCCTTTTTAAAAATACAACTATTTTATTTTCCATATAAGTTGGCTATGCCCAGCTTGTGCCTACATAAATATATTTCATCTGTGTTGGTGGCTATGAAGGAATGAAATATATTTCTGAAATCTCTTAATGAAGAGTTTACAAGAATATTTTTATTTATTTATTTATTTATTTATTTGGAAAGGGACTAGAGCACACCCTACTGGCCAGCTAATAGGAAAAACAGTATTTACCTGGGAGAAATTGTTCAGATTTGAAGACGCAATCAGATGAATGTTTAAAAGAAATTTGGAAAAAACTCTCTTGTAAACATCCACATATTAAATTAACATCTCCATGAAATACTAAAAAGTTCTAATCATTATAAGTTCTAGAAAGTTCTAGAAACAGGATAGAACTAGAAATACAATAACCACCAACAGTACCAAATGTGCATTAAAGGAGCATTAGGTAAATGAAAAATGGCCCTTATCAGCACGTATGCCTTAAAGCAATCCACAGAAGGTATTGGCTATATAAATACATGCATCTGTGCCCAGATGTTCCCAAAACATGAAGTAGCTCACGAAACAAACTGGCCTATAAGGAATGCCATTCTTCTTCCCATTGTCAAGTATATTTTTTAATTGCACTTACTCACTTAAAAATTAGTTTTTCAAAAGTGCATAGTTACATTTAAATCATGAATGGACAAAAGTAAAGGCTCTAGAACTAAGGTAGTGATGCAGGTAGTGTGTCTCAATTTAAAATATGTCTTTGTTTAAAAGGAGGAAGACAAAAACTTTTATAATCAAGAAGAACACCAAAATGTGTATACTCCCATGGGATTCCAATAACATGAAAACGTACATTGGGAAGGGCAGAGAGGGCCCCCCGCCCGGCATAGCTCCGCCTCTGCAAGGGCCGCTGGGAGAGCGGAGCCAGGAGCAGTCCTTCGGAGAGCAGAGCCTGTGATTCTAAGGTTTCTGAGCCAGAACCTCCCCCTTGTTCTCACTCCAAGGACAGCTTCTTCTTACACTGAAAGAAGGGCAAGTGCAAGTGACAATTGGGGCCAATGTGATGTAAGTCTAACATTTTAGATGTTATGTTTAGGGAGTCTTTTTATATTAAAAACAATCAGCTAATATAAATTTCTTAAGAAGTGGCCTCAAAATCAAATGGACTATGAGAGATGTTAAAAAAACATTGCCTGACTTTAAATTTTTCTTACTTCAGATAATTTAAAGCAAGTTAGGTTCAGTAGAAAGTATTTTTTCCGTGAACCTCTGTTAAAAATCAGTGAGAATGATCATTTGATAAGTGTAATATGCTAATATTATTTCAAGTTGCTTAGCATTTTCCTTTTAAACTCTACCCCAAATACTATTATTATTGACATTTCAGTGGTAAAACAAAATATCCTAAGTGGACTATTAGATCAAAGATTTGTAGGGTTGTAGGGTATAAATCGGTATAAGTCTCCTCATGTAATTCTCTCACAGGTGAGAGAGCCACATTGTGCAAGTATAATTCAGTAAGCAAAATTCAGTAAGCTATCGGTTATACCTGGCATTCCATCCAAAATGAATGCATCATGATGTTTATTTTGCAAGTTTAAAATAGAACAAAAGAAAAATCAGATTAACACATTACTCACGTGATTTCATGATTTTTGATAATTTACCAAAACATTGGTACATCATACAGCTCCCAACCATAGAGTGAGTATCCTGTTGATCTTCTTTCTCTAAAGAAGGGGTGTGTTTGATGGTTGCTTTGGTGATTATCACTGTTTTATGAATAGGGGAATGTAAAAGCATGCCAATAAGGCCAGCACAAATTACAACTGTATTGTAGCAACTTGAAATAGCGTAACCAGGGTTCCTTTCCGATGAAACTGGAGCTCATCAAGGTCCCCATTCAGTAAATGCTGCACTGTGAGCTCTGAAAAGATGTTCTCTGGCAAGTTTTCCGGCTGGTCCTTTTTTTACACTGATAACAGCATATGGGTGAGCCTTAAACATAGAAGGGGGAATCTCATATCCTGTGAATCAAAAAATCCAGTTTGGTAAGAAAACCAGCAATTAGTTGTGACTAATTTCCATCATCCTACAAGAGTACTAAACGAAAGGCAGCACATAAGAAGTTAACAAACAAACAAAAAAAGAAAGAGGTGGAATTATTGGAATTGTTGATAAGCAGCACAGATAGGAAAATAGCCTGAAGCCGCTGCAGTCCAGAGGGAGCCAGCCAGGAAGGAGGATAGAGGCTCGTCTGCTGAACATTCGTTTATCTTGCAACTGAAAAAGGGCAAAGGGATTCTTCAGATTTTTTTGGTGTGTGAGTATGTGTGGGTGGGTGTGTGTGCTTAAGGGACTGCATTCAAAATTAAGTCTTTGAATCAAATTTAAAAGAATGTAAGTAAATAATAGGAGAGAAAAGGCAAATCATGGCATGGAGTGCCAAGTTAATAGTTAACCTGATAGCGAGGTGGGAATCTCTCGGCCAGGGAAGCCATCCCCAGGAGGCCAGGCGGAAGGCAGACCGCTGTCAGCGCGCCCAAAGCCAGCCGGGCTCCGGGGAGGTGGGAGGCCGCGGGTGGTCTCCGGCCCCTGCCCCGCAGAGAGGACCTTCCGGGGAATTGTCCTAGTTAAAACTGGAGGGTTTCTGTCTGTTTGCTCTTTTTCTCACTTTAGTGACTCTTGGTTTGTTATCATTTGTATTATTTATTTTACGGTTAAACTATAAGCCTTAAGTTGCATCACCAGCCCTCCCGCCGGCTCGCGGGTGTTTGGTCCGCGGGCATCAGGGGCTGCCCCCGGGCCAAGGGACGCGGAGGCCCGAGAGGGCCTGACAGGTAACCTCGACGTGGCGACCTCGAGGGGACGCCAGGCTGGGGGTGGCAGTGCCCCTTCTGGAAGCCCGTGGGTGGCCCAGGCCGGGGGGGGGGGCCGGGGGGGTGAGGGTGGGCCAGTGCTGCCAGGACCTGGGATCGATCTGCAAACACGTGGTCAGAGGAGCAGCAGCTGGGCAGCCCCTCTTTCAACTCTCCCCTGGGGGGCATCAGCCATGTGGCCTCAGAGCCCTTAAAGGTCTCATGCTGTCCCACGCTGCCCCACACTGCCCCTTGTGCCCCCCACTGTCGCTCGTTGTCCTAGGTGTCCCTTGCTCTCCCACACTGTCTCTTGCTGTCCCACGCTGTCCCACAATGCCCCAATCTGTCCCTCTTTGACCCCTGCTGCCCCACACTCACTGTTCCACACCTCCCTCGCTGACCCTCCCACGCTGCGGCCCGCGGGCATCGTGGAGAGCGGGGCGGCGCCCGCGGACAGGGGAGAACACGCTGCAACCGTCCCCGCGGCTGGAAACGATGGGAAACACCGCGCGAGGCGCGGCGCCGCCTTGGGGTGAGGCAGGAACTGAGGCCGGGGTCGGGCTCCCCGCACTCTCCTAAGACTCGGTAGAAGGTGTTCCCGCGCTCGGCGACAGCCGGTTGGGTCTGCAGAGCTGAGGCGCCAGGCCGCGGCCGCCCAGATGCACTTCCCTGGGGAGACAAAGGCGGCTTCCCCGCAGGCCGCGGGACGCCGGTGGACCCCACGCGCGCGCCCGCCACATTGCCCCTTTAAGCGGCTCGCGGTCGGGATTGGCTGCCTGGAAGCAGGGGGCGGGGACGTGACGTCACGGCCCCGCCCGCTCGCTATAAAGTCAGGCGGCGGCGGCCCGGCGACGGCGGCCGAGTGCGAGAGGGGAGTGTAAACCGGGAGAGCGGCTGCGATCGGCCAGGCGCCTGCGCGGTGTCCGGGCCCCCGGAGCCCGCGGCGCTGAGCCAGCCGGGACGGACATGCGCGGGAGGGCGCCGTGGGGCAGCCACGGCTCCGCGGGGTAAGGGGCCTGCGGGCTACGGGTGGGGAGGGCGGCGCCGCGCCCCCGTGGCTGCGGGCTGCGGGCGGCTCCCGACGCTGGGCGGGTCCCCGGGAGCGGAGAGGGTCGCCCTACGCGGAGTCTCCCCGGGACGGACGGGCGGGAGGGAGGGAGGGCCGGCCCGGGCGGCGCGGTCAGGCCTGGGGGTGTCCCCGCCTCGCCGGCCGCGCACCGGGCTCCCGGACGCGCCTCGGCCCCAAGGCTGCTGCGGAGGGCACGGGGCTTTGGAGCGGCGAGCCGGGTCCTACGCCCGCGGCTGGCGGCGGCCTCGCGCGCTCTCCTTGTCCACAATGGAGCTGCCTTCCCCTGGCGCGCACCGGGTGCCCATCAACCCTCTCCTGACAGCCTCGGTGGGCGATCGCTGCCCGCGCGCGGTCCCCTGCTCAGCCTTGGCGACCATGGTTCTCTGCAGTCGGTGTTCCTTAATTCATCCCGTAGCTCTGTGCCCTCTTCCTCTCCTAGGAGCGTGATTCTTCTCTGAGCGTCCTAAATACTGCTTCACAAGGGAAGGAACTGCAGAATTCTCTGTTCAGAACGGGAACGCTCTTTGGGTATTTCCCGGTGTACGTGTGTATTTATATGTATATCATAGTCTTACTGCAAATGAGATGACTCCTTAACTACGATTGGTGCTGTATGGGTGCTTGCTAAGTCTTTATTAGGGTTTCGTCATTGCTTGAAAGAAACCAGTCTCTTACCTGATAAAAAAATATGAATAGATTGTTAGTCATAAACTTAAGTGCAGTCAGAATAGAGACTGTAGCTTTAAAAGAGATGTGTTGGTGACTTTAGGTACACCTGCAACACAGGTAGGGCAGGACTGGTTTCTAGGCAACTGTCAGGGGTGAAGGAAGGTGAGGTTAAAACGCTTTTTTTTTTCTTCTGGAGGACGAGTGTTCTGCAAAGTTTTAAGCTTTTGCAGATCTGTAAGAATGTGGTGGGCATGTGTTTCTTGAGCAGACTGAAACATCTAAGTTCAGTATACCTAGTCTTGCCTTTTAAAAAACTTTTTTTTTTTTGCATGTCTGTAATTACACAGTTCTAAGTAAAGTTGTATTTAAACGGATCAAAGACCAGCTAGGTACCCATTTCAGGAAATGACCAGATTTTGGTAAGACCAAAATAAAAGTTGGTTTTTTGTTAACATGCTGACTCTGATTGTTACTAGTATGTTACCAACCAAGCCTTTTTTTTTTTTTTTTAAAGAGAACACACAGGTTTTAGCAGGGACCTCAGCACGCAGCCATCCCCGCCCTTCATGCAGGCTTATTTCCCACAGCGATGCTCACAGGCGGGAGGGGTCCTGAACAAACAATTTGCAAACTAATAAATACTAGACCATAAGCCCCTCACAGGCAGGAACTCTGCCCTGTACAGCTTCTGTTTTACGCCCCCTTGCATTAAGTTAATGATTGACAAATAAGTGCACGAAAGCATATTTTACGTATTGGAGCTCAGCAGGATTGCAGCGGTCACTGATAAGGGTCGCAAAACAAATCTGTTTTTTAATAACTGTTAGGAAATGTCCGAATCATTCATATGTTGATAGTAGGTAAAATTACTGTTAAAACGATTTGTTTATACTACTTTCAGCTCACAAAAGATACTGGTCACTCCATGAGATTTAATATACTGTAGACTTGAGTTTGTGTGTGAAAACTGCTGCTTCTTGGCAGCGGAACCAGATAAGACTTCCTTTCTGCTAATACTGATGGTAGCTTTTAAAAGCAAGTTGCTAAATTACAGGTACAATCGAACATGCTTGAAACTGACCTGAATGTCTACATACCATCAGGTTGCTTTAGAAAGGTGAGCAGAGGAGGGAGGAGGTGCCAGGGTTAATTCCAGGAATCTGAATGTCATAGGCTCCCTCTACCAGAGAAACAACTCCTCGCAATCTACATACATTTGAATGGCTCCTTCAGCAGCAGGATTCTGTAGCATCCTTCGGTGCCTGGGTATGACCATGCTCTATAGAAGCTAAGGAATAACTCACCAGATAAAATGCAGTTGTGCTATCTGGGCATTGTCTGCAGACATGAAAAACGCATGCTTTGTGAAGGCAGAGGAAACGGGAGCTGCAGGGTTCTGAATGTAAGTGTAATGGAGACGTTAGTTTGGAGGTAGGGAAAAGGTAGTGCCAGCCTCAAACTTCAGAAAGGAGACAAAAGATTGTGTGGGTTGAAGTTATAGTTGATACTTTCATCCAATTCCTAATACCAGCGATTTTCAACCTTTTTCATCTCATGGCACACATAAACTAATTACTGAAGTTCTGCAGCACACCAAAAAATATATTTTTGCCAATCTGACAAAAAAAAAAAAAAATGGGTGTAATTTTGATTCATTTACACCAAGACCACTAGTGTCGTGTTGGTTATTGTCACATTTTTTTTTGTTTTAATTTGACAGTCTAAGGGGAAAGAGATCAGTGCCCCTGACTAAACAGGCAGGTATTGAATGTTTCAAAAATTCTTGCGGCACACCAGGGTGCCACAGCACAGCAGTTGAAAATCGCCACCGCACACCATAAAAATGGGCAGGCAGTATTACTAAAAGGCCGATGAATACATTTTAAAAATAGGTGTCCCTGGCTATATGGATTAGGCCTTTTCCACTACAAAGTGTGCCACAATTCAACAGAACATCGCAGTTTAACACAGGGAACTGTGGGAAGATGAGAGTTAGAAGACAGTGTCCAGTAGCTCTTACTAAAGGCCCACAGACTAGGAAGCTCAACTAGATAGGTCGTCTAAAGGAATAATACTCCCCGGGCATGGAATGTTCTCCTAACTCTTCCCATGGCTGCCGCCTTCCCACCCTTTGTATTGTATATAGGAAGTCTGAGAGGCCTTCCCTAACCACCTATATAAACATGTTCTGCCTCCTTACCTTACTGTTTCCTGCTTCCTTGGAAGTGACCACGATCTGAAATTGTGGCTTCGATCGCTGTCGCCCTTGTCACTAGGCTGTGGCTTCCCCAGGCAGCAGCCACGTCTCTTGCACCTGGCACAGTATCTTGTCCAGAATAAGCATTTGATAACTATTTGTGAAAGGAATTCATCCTTGCCCTCTTAAGAAGTTGCGAGCTAAACACTACGAGTTGAGTTCTGTTTTTCTCTCTGCAGCGGTCTAACGCTCAGGTCTCCTTTGCATCAGTTTCCCCTGTATAAATAACGTGGGGGGGGGGCCGTGGGGCGGCGCCCAGAACGAACCTGCCCTGGCGGGGAGAGGCGGGAGAGTGCTGTGGGAGGGCACTGGGCTCCTGCCACTTCACTTCCTCGTCTTTGAAATGGAGATTATAATCCCTGCCACTTCTTACAGGATGTTGTGGGGATCAAGTGAGATAATGTGTTAGAAAGTGCTCTGTGATTTGTCCAGCGCTTTGCAAATACAAGGTGTTCTGTTATTAAATGCCTGCAGAGCCCCACTGTGCGACCTCACCGGGACCGCGCTGGGGGCACGTGCGACGGTAAGGGGGCCTCGCGGAGGTGGGGCCACTGACCCCTTTCACCAGCGACGACCAACCTGCGCCGTGTGACACTGTGTCACACGGGATGACACTGTGTCACACGGGACACCGCAACGGGTGTGTGTCGGGGCGGATGCTGGGGTATATTAAAGATTGAGGGCTTCCAAAGAATTGTTTGAAGTAGTTACAGAATACAAAAGTAGTACCTTTTTAGAAGATAAATAGGCCAAATCGGCAACTAATAACTTTTATAGGAGAATCTGAGGGAATAGAAGTAAGACAAGAAGTTCCGTAGGCTGAGGGTTACCCAAGAAAAATGACCTCCCAGCCGCAAATCCTCAGAAAAGTCTGCCTGAGCCACCCTGCGGTGGGCACTGCAGTGGGTCGGGCTCACCCTGGCCTCGGCCCCGCGGGCCTTGAAGAGGTGGCGCGGAGGGGAGGCGTCGACACCAGGCTCCCTGGTTTAAGTCTTGACCCCACTGCTCGCCAGACCCTCCCCAGATTTGACCTTGGCCCAGTAAGGGACTAAACTCGCCTCCAGCCCCTCGCCTGTAAGTGAGGGTAGGAACAGTAACCTGGCTTCTAGGGCTGCTGAGAGGATTAAATAAGGGAGCGTGTAAATGAAGCACTCAGAACAATGCCTGTCAGATAAGCGTCCAGTGTATTAGTTATTATTTTTACTGGTTTAATGTTCATTATAACAACTTAGAGTTACCTATTGGGTGACTTAAGTGCTCATTAAGTAAATTCGAAGTTTGAGAGATTCGCTTCCCATCATTAGACCACTGTGCTCGCTGTCATTAAAATTGGCATAGACTTCACACATCTCTTACAATTAGAACTCTGTTACGCGTATGCCATAAAGAAATACTGTTTTTCTACCCTCGGTGTGTGTTGCTCCTGGTTAGGGTGCTCCATAGGAGAAGGACAAAGGACAGAGGACCAGGTCTGTGCTGCCGCGCCGACATGGTACAGGAGACCAAGTGACCCAAGAGGCCGTTGATAACTGTGGTAGCTGAACGAATAGGGCTTTGTTAGCTTGCCACTTCTTAATACTTAGCAAGAAAATATTCTGCGTTATTCAGGAAATCATGTCACTTAGCTTTGATTTTCACAGCCTGAAGATAAAGTGTTGTCCTTGTTGCCGCACTGCTTCCCCACCCAAATGGGTCCCTCTGTCCCAGGCATGTTGGGGACGAGTGTTGTCACACTGGGTCCAGCTATACTTCCATCTTTACTGAAACCATCCAGCTTGGCTTAAATTCGTACAAGATTATTTTACTTACATTTTATTGACATAATATTAAACTTTATAAAAGTTACCTGTGCTTTTACTTTAAAGATTTTATTTATATGTTTTTAGAGAAAGAGGGAGGGAGGGAGAGAAACATCAATGTGTCAGAGAAACATCGATCAGTTGTCGCTTGCATGGGCCCCAGTGGGGGACCTGGCCTGCAACCCAGGCCTGGGTCCTGGCTGGGAATTCAGCCAGCGACCTTTGGGTTCACAGGCCGGCACTCAATCCACTGACACACCACCCAGGGCTAACAGTCACCTACGCTTTTAATCTGAGGGCTGTTTCTGCTCTTCATAGTGGCAGGGAGAGCGAAGGTAATGCCCCCAACTTGCTTGGCCTTCTTCTGCTTCCCCAAATCATAGCCTGTTAAAAACCCTGGGAAGAAACCCTGAATTGAGGCCCCTGATTTTGAAGTCTTTTGCTTTCAGTAAATAACAACTGTCATAAACACTGAATATGTAGATGATTATCAAGTCAGTACATTTTGTTATATTATCAATAAAGGTTACAGTTCTATAAAAGAGGTCAACTGAACGTTCGGTGTGTCAATGGCTTGGCTACTAGTGCTTTGGACACAAATCAATAAAAATGGTAGGGTTTTGTTTTTTCCAAAGGTGATTATTTTAGAGATTTTCAAAATGAAGATAAATAGGCAGGTGTAGGTTGACCTGGGGAGGATCTAAAATCATGGGATTTGTCATGTTCCTAAATCAGTTTCTTTTTAACATATTTTACCTCTAAATATAGTTACCTTGTATCTCCTTGGGTATGGGAATAATTACGTAGGTAATTGTTAAATGCAACTGAAAAGACCATTTATCACCCTGAATAAACAGAAATCAGGTTCTAAAACCAGATTGAAAGAAGGAAATTACATCACACTTTTAAAGAAGGAAGCACTGGGCAGAACTGGATGAGTCGAGTGACAAAAATGCGCCCCTCCCCCTCCTGTGGGTTGCTTCTGAGATTTATTAATGAGATCTGGTGGCCAGGTAAGCAGATCTAGGTTATTGTCTTAAGGTAGCCTAGTTTTTTAAAAGTTTCAAAGAGACTATCTTTAAGGTAGAGGCATGTGATTTCACCTTAATAAACATGCAATGCGCTTATTGGTGTACCTTTTTTGTTGTTGTTTTTTTTTAACAGCAAAAACACAGTAGGCGCATTATAATCCAGAAGAAATAATGTGTAAGGGAAGGGGAGCCCAGTTCTCCCGACTGCCTTGAATATACAGTAACAGGAATCAATTTAGAAGTTATATTGTTAAACATTTAAGCTTATATTTTTTACCCAGTTTGCAAACTGTCCACTTTAGATTTTGGAAATGAATTTGATGAAAATTGATTGCTACATATCTTAAACGCATTCCTTACAGCCCTTTGCTTTTTCCCTTAGTTCTTCACTGATTTACATGTGAACCTTTCACATAATTACTTTTTTTTTAAAAAAAGGAGATGAGTATTTTCGCAATGTCCCTTTAGTAACTATTAGAATGACTGGCGCCAGGACTTCCCACGAGAAAACAGGCCCTGTCCTAGGAGGTCTGGAGGGCCCCACCAGGGAGGGGCGCCGCACAAAGCCACCGGGACCAGGACAGCCGGTCCGCTCCACGTCCCCGTGGAGAAGTGGGGTAGGAGCCGGCCCTCAAGGAGAGGCCAGATCCTGACATCTGGGGAAGGAGAAGCCAGGGCTTGACACAGGTAGATGGAGGCCTTGTTGTGGAGGCCTGAATGCCAGACCACGGAGCTTCGGGTTAGAAGACCGTAAGCCGCGGCAGGCCTCATTTAGCTGTCGGTCAGGGCCGCAGAGCTCGGACTGGGGTGGGGGGGCAGCAAGCAGAAGGGAGGCCTGAGAGACCGTGGGGCTTCGTCACTGAACTCTATGGGCTGTGACTCAGGTTTAAAGTGGTGCCTCTAGAAAGTGTGGCCCTCCTAGACCCTGAACTGGTTTGGGAAGGGGGTAGGGGGCTGGGGGTACCAGAGCCCCTGCCCCCACCCAGTACAAAGACAACCACCAGACAATGGGAAATGCTGGGGGGAAGCTTTAGCCGGGGCTGGAGTCAAGATTCAGGACCGCCTGTGCAGCAAGTGGATCACGGAGGGGCGGGGGGGCGGGCGGTGTGTGGCTCTAAAAGGACCACCTCAAGAAACATGGTGTTAAGGAGTATTTTTCCCCTTGAATGAAAACACATTCAAGTGATGTTTAACAAGAAAAAGTAGTTCACATCTGGGACTGGAATTTAATGGCATTTTTGACACACTTAAAAGGCTAAAGATTAGTTCCTGAATTTCAGAGAAGTCATTACGCCCCAAGCTACGAAGACCCTGGTCCGTGCCCTGGTCTGTGCCGCGCTGCGGGGACTAATGAACACTGGCTCTCAGATTTGCGTTTCATAACAACCCCATCTTTTACTTACAGGTGCTGATTTTCCTAATAGCTGTAGTTTTGCTATTCTCCTAATTAATTGTAAGGCAGAGCTAGTTTTATCGTTCCAAGGAAACAGAATTTGAAACACTGCCCCATTGCAGTTCACTTGAGCAGGGTTTTTCTTTTTAACCTGAAGACGACCCAACTGACCGATCCCCCACCCCCGCCCCCAAGCCAGGAGCAGGCATGGTGACTACTTAGACTTTTGAGAGCGGTCTGAAAGCGTTTCAGGTGCTTCTGCAACCTCAGTTTACCTGTGATTGGGGAGGCGCGTTTAAAAAGCTTGTTTCCAGACCTAGGGCAGAGTGCCCTCTTTGATTTTACAGCTTGGAGTTATTTTCCAAAAGAAGAGAGCGCAAGCTTATATCGCCCTCCTCGCGTCTCCCATGCAAGCAAGTAGGAAGTTCCGACGGGTTTCATAACCGGCCCATTCACAATTCCCCATTGAAATGTAGAGGCAGGTCACCTTCTATGAATACACAAAGGCACTATTGTGGTCAGAAGTGAGCTGGCTTAGTGAACACAATTCTTTTTAGACTAAAAAAAATTTTTTTTCTTAAGAAAGCTAACAAGTAGGTGATGGAAACAATGAATAAAAAATAACTTTTCCTAGAACATGTAAATAATTTTAAGGGACCACTGAAATGTAAGTTTAGAGCCGAGGCGGCTCCAGCAGAGGCACCGGTTGCACAATCATTCTGGGGAAGGCTCTGAGTAGATGGCCTAGGAGGTCGGCACACAGGCACTCCTGGCACTTGCCGGCCCACGGACAGGTGGGGGCTGGGCCCCAGGGTCCCCCACGGCACTCGCCCACAGTCGCAGTCAGAGGAACCGTCCGCAGTCCTGCGCTCCGTCCTCTCTGGAGCCTGTCCCTCGTTGGCACAGGTCTGCTCCCTGCGGTCGTGCCAGTGCTAGACGGGTGCTCAGCACACAGACGGTGCCTGGCAGGTTTTCTAAAAATAGGTTTTAAGTGGCTTCCTAGCTTTACTTGATTCAGGTGAAAAAGGACAAACACATTTGCTTCGTTTTAATGATCCGAAAACCTGCCTTCAAAAAAATTCTAAAAAGACTTCCCAATAACTTAGATTTCATAAATGATGCGGTTTCTTTTTCTCTTCTCAATCACATGTCTTTGAGAGACTGATTAAAAGAAATAGTGCTTCCCTGTTTGAACTAGTACCTTAGCCCTGTTTCGATCTGCCTCGCTGACTTGGGAGAGTAAGAGCTGAGAATCAGCCACTGGGCCAGACCCATCCTTACTTTGTCCCTGAAACATTGCTCTCTTTCTCCGTTCCTTTTTGTGTAGAAAAAACAAACACTTGCAGAGTATCTTTTTTATATCTTTAGGTAAAAAAGAAAAAACAACCCTGTGCCTTACACATTACATACGTTCAGTAGACACCGCTGATCATACCAGACAGTCCCGTACAAACACTCCCTCACAGGGCGGCTGGGTGCCAGGCAGTGATGGTTAATGACTGGCACGCAGCCTCTTCTCTGAGCTCACAGTCTAGTAGGAGGTGGCATATATGTCCCTAAAACAAAAAAACACCTGCGTTCCCCTCCCCTCACCTGAGGCCTCTGCACACCAGTTCACACACATTTGGCGAGAACAGAGTGTTACGAAGTCTATTCTCACAACCGAAAAAGAGTCAGTGTTACATAGTTGACAAATCATGTCCTAAACATATTCTACGCATGATGTAGGTGCTGGTTCACATCCGCATTGGCAGTTTAATGAAGAAGAAAAGTAAAGTGGGAGCGGCTCGGGGGACCCCGACCGGCGGCCCTGACGGGGCGTCCCGGGGCTGAGGGTTACTGGACTGAGGGAGACGGTGCTCCCTGGCCTCGGTAACCCAGGCCGCGCAGCGGGCATGTCGGAGGAGGGAATGTGAAGAATGCACCTTTATGTTTGTCTCGGAGAGGAAGAGGAAGCTGTCCCAGGCCGCCACCAAAACCAGTCATCTTGCAGAACTTGATTTTTACAGGATAATGGAAATTGGTGTCTTCCTATATTCCTTTATTCTTGAACAAGTAATCACTGGAGAATTTGTCTTCCTGGAGCCAACGCTGAAATACAGAATCCAAATAAATGTTGGGCTGTGGGCTGCTGAGGTGCCAGCTGTAGAATCTGTCGTCTGATGGAGGCATCGGGCCTTCGTGACCGGGCCCAGGAGCTTGTGGCCGTCCGGGAAGGCCCGCAGACACTGCAGTCGACCATGGGCCCTGGCCTGAGGAGGTCCGCCCTCCCCAGCCGCAGGTGACTTCTCACTTTGCTCAAAACACTGCAAACCTTGGATCAGGACTTAGGAAAAAAAATTTAATGTCTACGTTTCAGTACGCTCACAAGAAGTATGAATGAATGTAAAAATGTCAGCATTAAGTGAACGTCTAACTAAGTTTTTCTGTTCAGCCTCCTGGAAATTCCCTAGCTTCAGGCACTGAAGGGCACTTCTGAATTGTTCCTGTATCTTCTCGTCCCTCTCTGTTCCTCTAGGGACCAAAAGCTGCTGGCTGAGTGACAGAGCCCTAGGACCCCAGTGTGAGACACAATGTCCACCGCAGGCGTCGCTGCCCAGGAGATTCGAGTCCCGTTGAAAGCTGGGTTTCTGCATGATGGGCAGGCCATGGGGAACCTGAACACCTGCTGGGGCAGTCGCAGGGAGTTTGAGAAGTAAGTGTGAGGCGCGGTGCCTTGGACACACTCAGTGTGTGAGAGTAACACCAGAGGGAGACAGTGGTCGCTACTTGTTTCTGACCAAGGTGTCTTTGCTTCATTTCAGTAACTTTTTAAACATTGACCCAATAACCATGGCCTACAGTCTGAAGTCCACTGCTCAGGCGCACCTGACGTCTCTTGGTATGTGTCCTGCAGAGCCGGGAATTCGTGGGGGAGGGAGGGGCGTCCAGCTGTTTGCTTGTGCCCCAGCATTACTTTTAATTTAAAAGGGGGAAACAACCTGAACTGCCTCCAACAGTAATCTGACCCCTAGTGGCAACAGATCCTGAAGATAACCTTGTTCTTCCCGACTGCTGTCCCTGACCCTGAGTCACCAATTCCCAGCTAGAGCTATTTGTGCAGGTTTAAGAATTAAGTTCTAAAAAAAAATTTAAAAAATTAAAAAAAAAAGAATTAAGTTCTAACCCCAGCCAGGATACACACATAACTTTTAGAGACCTTGGACGAGACCTCTCATCTTTCTTATTCATATAGAATGCCTGTTTGAAAGTGATCAAGGAGTAAAAATGTCGATGAAACCGTAGAAAGGTGTGCTAGATACCGTAGAGCCCTTGTAACACAGGCGCCGTGCGCCTTAGATCTTTGCGAACAAGCCCACTCACCGGCGGGGCTGCCCGGTGCTAACAGCGAGGACTCGTCTCATCTCGGTCATGCCCTGTGCGCCGGGTACAGCCGCGTCTCGTAAATGACTGGGCTGCCATAGCGTGGTGTTCATGTAAATTATATGCTGCTCAGCTTCTGCGAGTTTTGCACACGTCACAAGCCTGCCTGAGATGTGCGGGTGCGCCGTGCACATGTCTGGGGAGATAGAAGAGATAGTCTGTTCTTTGAACCAGATCCTGCGCGTTAACCATCTTCTGGGCCCTAATTACACCTGTGGTGGGTGCAGGGTGTTCTCAGGGTGACAGTGGCTGCGGCTGGGGCAGCAGCCTGGGAGCGCGGGCGGCTGGGCTGTGCTCGCGCCGGGGGCCCCGCTGGTTCTGCACTCACCTCCCTGTCCTTTCCAGGCCGCGCCTCGACCTCTGCTCCGACCCACAGCCACCGCCCGGCAGAGCGGGGCGCCTCTCACAAGTCCAGCCTTCCCCCCCTTGTACTTCCCGCAGCTGAAAACTTGGGACCCCGCGACGAGGACCAAGTTGTAGGCGGCTTCAAGAAACTCTCGGTGAGTGGGGGGTGTGCTCCCACCCCTCCGCTCACACCCATGAAGAACGGCCCGTGCCCCTTCCCCTACCCGGCGCTTGAGCGGGGCTCCAGGCCCCTCCCCCCGCTGCCCATCTCGGAAGGCCTCTCTCTGGACGACACAGACTGTGAGGTAGAGTTTTTCACCTGCTCCGACACAGACTTGCTTTTGGAAAACAGCACACCTTCTGAGTTCAAGTACAGCGTCCCCGGCAGGCGGAGCTTCCGCGGGTGTGGCCAGATCAACTACGCCTATTTCGACACCCCGACGGTGTCCGTGGTGGATCTCAGCCAGGCACCTGGCCAAAACGCAGCGGGGCAGCACCCAGACCCTCCTGCACCGCAAAGCCACCGCAGGTTAAGAAGGTCTCATTCGGGACCAGCTGGGTCCTTCAACAAGCCGGCCATAAAGATACACAGCTACGTGCACAGAGCTTCTCCAAACTCCGATGAAGACAAACCTGAGGTCCCCCCCAGGGTCCCCATACCTCCGAGGCCCGCGAAGCCTGATTACAGAAGGTGGTCGGCCGAGGTGACTTCCAGCACCTACAGCGATGAAGACAGGCCTCCCAAAGTGCCACCAAGAGAACCTCTGTCCCGGAGCAACTCCCGCACACCGAGCCCTAAAAGCCTTCCGTCGTACCTCAATGGGGTCATGCCCCCCACCCAGAGCTTTGCCCCTGACCCCAAGTATGTCAGCAGCAAAGCCCTGCAGAGACAGAACAGTGAAGGGTCTGCCAATAGGGTTCCCTGCATCCTGCCCATTATTGAAAATGGGAAGAAGGTTAGCTCCACACATTATTACCTACTACCTGAGAGACCGCCGTACCTGGACAAATATGAAAAGTTTTTTAGGGAAGCAGAAGAAGCAAACGCAAGCACCCAGACGCAGCCGTTACCTGCTGAGGGCAGCGTTGGCTCCGCCACAGAAAAGCTGGACTCCAAACCCAAAGTGGATCTGGGCGGCCACGGGAAGCGGAAGCACTTGTCCTACGTGGTCTCCCCTTAGGCTCCGGGCTCGCGGCTCAGCAGCAGCTCCATGGGAGCAAAGAGTCCTCAAGCAACTTTCCAGCTGGACCGAGGTTCACAGGAAAATGTTTCAGGCTGCAGCATAAACTGTTGAACTCTGTAAAGAGAGGGGTCGAGAGGCGCTGTTACGCTTAGGATCCCGGGTTTTGCTGGCGTTGGAGGAGAGTCTGTCCAAGCCAATAAAGATGTGATGGGGGCAAGACGGGGAAACTTTTATATATGCATACATCATATACCTACATATACGCTCGCGGTATCGCCATAGACTGTAGTAGCAGGTTAACCAGTTAGTTACTATCTTAGAGTAATATATATTCAGAAGGATGGGAACTCATGCTGGGGAATGACTCCTGATAGACTGAAAATTGAGCAAATGGAAGAAAACGCAGTATTTAGATCAGAATCATAAAAAATTATTTTTGCTTAGTAAGTTTGAAGATTTCTGGCTCTTCGGTCTGTTATATTTTGTTTGATTTATTTTTGCAAGCAGTCTTTTCCATGGGGAGTGGGGTGTGCTCTTTCTGTAGCTATACTTGCTTAGTTTAAAAGCCCTAAATGCTTCTAGGTTCCACTTCCTGCTTTGCTGAGGGGAGGGCTAGCAGTTCATTGGCGCCCATGTTCTCACCTGTGCATGTCTCACATCTTGAAAACTGGGAAGATAATATAACATTTTCCTCAATTCCGGCTTTGCTCCACCCACCAAAACGGCCCATTGTTGCACGTGCCTTAGACAGTGGGACGCAGTGGACGCAAAAGGCAGGCTGCTCACCAGCGTTTATTTAGGATGCCACTTTTAAGCAATAATGAAACACTTAGCTATGTGATTGAGAGTTACTGGGTGGGGATGTGTGGTGGGTTTTTTTTTTCTTTTTGGGGGGGTTATTTTTTTAGACTATTAATAAACAAATACAACACAAGCTGGCCTTGTGTTGCTGGTTCCTACTCAGTATTTCCTGAGGATTGTTTGCTTTTTAAGTAAAACACTTCTGACCAAGAGCGCAATATGTCTTAATAGCAGAGGTCACAGCAGCGTCTTTCTGCTCTGAAATCCCACGGCTGGCTGCTTCGCTTCATTCGCCGAGACGCGCAGCGCCACTCTCACTGCCGCGGCCTGGGCGTGTTTGTCTTGCGTAGTTAGGCGCAAAAGAGAAGGTGCTCACTCACAGGGGTGCGTCGCTGCCGCGTTCTCGCAACAGTTCAACGGGCTGTTTACGGTTGAAACTGCTGAGTGATTATTTGAGCTATTTAAAGCTTATATTTTAGTCTGAACTAAATGAAGGTTAAAACATGCTTTAGAAAAATGCACTGATTTCTGCATCAAGTGTACAGTATTGGACAAAGGATTTTATTCATTTTTGTTGCATTATTTTGAATATTGTCTTTTCATTTTAATAAAGTTATAATACTTATTTATGATACCGTTAATAATGTTTCTTGCCTGAACTCTCATGAAATCTTACGTCTCCAGCAATTTGACAACATCACCATTTTTAAGCACAAAGGAAGATTTTTACAGGTTAATACACTTGACATGTACTGCCATTCCCTAAAATGACAAGTAACTTGAGCAATTTGTATTTAAATATTATACAAGTGCAGTGAAAATGAGCTGTGTTGGCCTTTCATGAGAAAGTGGACCTGAACCGGTGCTGTTAATTACTACCCAAACCGGTGTCATCGGGGGGAGGGCAGCCCTTCCCGGGGACAGGAGCGGAAGGGACCGGCTCTGACGGGCTTGCTGTGACCTCCGTCTTGATTGAGGACTAGGTCGGGGTGGCTTGGGCCCGTGGGAGGCCGCTGAGGACCCTGGCCTCGCAGGCTTCGCGGAGCGGGTGGTCGCCTGGCTCTCTTCGTCTGCCCTCCGCACTCCCAGCTCCTGGCTGAGGGTGGGCGCTCCGGGACCTAGCTGAGTGCCTGCGCGCGTGTGGAAACCCCCCGAGGTCCAGAGTGAGGACTTGGGGATTGAAGGTTTGGGCTGAAATCCAAGCCCACCTCTCTCATGTGCAATGGGCAAACTTAAAAATCTCTGTGCCTCAGTTTTCTCATTGGTAAGATGGGGGAGGGGTGATACCTACGACAGCAGGTTGTCAGATCGTTGGTGACAGTTGCCCACGGTAACTACACAGTGGACTTTGGGCTCCTCTGCCCCCCGCCATCACCCTGAAACCTGGGTGTGGTTTCTGGCCTTTCACAGATGCCGAGGGGTCTGGGGTGCCCACCCGGCAGACGTTTGTTGAATACCAGTCACACGCCGGACCCTGGGAGAGCAGGCACATCCCTGCCCTGATGGAACTGAAAAGTAGCCATAGTTACAATTTATGATAAATGCTAAAAAGGAACGAGCGGCGACAGTGACAACGGGGCCCTGCCCTCTCTAAGGTGCAGGATTTGAAGGGCTGAAGTGGAAGCTGCGGGTGGGGCGTGAATGGGGAGAAGCAGCTGGGGAACCGTGCGAGGGAGCCGGGAGGCAGCATTATGGCAAGGCTGGGGGGTCCCGAGGAAAGGGCCGTGGACGCTCTTCAGATGTGTGCAGGGGGTGAGGTGGTCCGCTTCGCTTTTAAAAGATGGCAGGGACTGACTGGAAAGCAGACCGGAGAGGAGCTGAAGCGGACCTCAGGACAGGCTGTCCTGACTGAGATGTGAGTAGGGCAGTGGGAATGGAGGAAAATTGCCTTGAAAGACACTCAGCGGTAGAAACCGGGCCGGCGACCTCAGGTGGGACACGGACCAGCCCTCGTGGCTCCAGAGCCAGGCCTCCAAACGGCGCAGACCGTCCCATGGACGTCTGAGTGCCCGGTTTCCGCTGCTTTATCTGCATCCCGTATTTCTTTGCCTTTTGCCCCCTGCCCTCCGTACCCCACTGCTTTTTCTTTGTATTGTGGCAGAAGCTATAAAGGTAGTTACAGTTCCGTATTTGCTTCCCCCTTACCTTGGAGATTTCCCTTGATCTCAGGGGAACATGCATTTTCCTAGTGTTTCCTGGCCAGGCCGACTTGCCGCCAGGTTAAAGCCATGGGACGAGGGCTCTGTCCACAGCAGCGCTGGCCAGCTCGGCCCCCAGCCAGCGCCCCGAGCACACCGCAGTCTAAAGCGCCCTCCTGGCGCAGGCCAGCCCGTCCTGCAGGCTTGTCTGTGCCAGTGAGGAGATGGGGCGAGGACAGCTGTCTGGGCGCTGCCACGTGGTACACAGGAGTCTCGCACAGACAGGCGTTACCTAATGACGAGGCACGGTCCTCCCGGCAGGAAACAGGCAGCCCAGTCTTAGCCCCTCACGTCCTACGGGAAGGGTTCCCCGAGCCCCCGGACCCTCGCTTCCCCAACCACGTGGGACCCTGCTGGAGCAGGACACAACGCCCTGCGAACCCCAGGGCTGTGTTAGTGGGAACTTTCATGGCAGAAGGCAGAAGCTACAGTCAAGGGGACTCATTGGCAGGTCAGCTGCAAATCTGGGTAACACTGAATTTTACGCCTTCCCAGGCTGCAATAATCAGTATGCATTGTCTGTCTTATTTTTATTAAATTCCACATGCTAATGGAAGTTTAATCTTGTTTACACGTTGATTATTTCTCTCTAGGTCTCAAGTGATGTCTTCACTATGTTATGAAAAGAATTATCTTAAGAGGATGTTTCTTCACTGCTAAGGGCCCTATTCCAAAAATTGGGGCCCACAGATTCTTCTAGAGGGTTTCATAGTCGAAGAAAAGAGAACTACACCCATTTGTCTACTGGTTCAATAATCAAAATAGATATCAAGCTATTCTTATTTTAGTTCTTAATTTTACCACATAGTGTATAGTTTTAGGTTATATGGACCTTTTTTCTTAAAAATAAGCTCCTAGCATTATTGCACATACTGGAGTGTTTGGTGTTTTTTTTTTTAATTTTTTGTTTGGTTTTTTTACTTTTTATTTTGAAATAATTATAGGCTCCCAAGAAATTTCAAAAACAGCACAGAGAGTTCCCCTGTACCCATTGCCCAGGTTCCCCCAGTGATAACATCTTACACGATTACAGTCCATTATCAAAACCAGGGAGCTGATGTCACGATATATACACTATATTTATATTTGAAATAGTTACTATCAAAATGGACTTAGGTCTTTTAAATTTCCAAATTAATATTGGCATTCTGTTAGGCATTTTGTGCAAAGCCAATAAAGCTTTAAAAATATGGTGCCATGTAGCTATATGTTATGGTCGTGGTAACCCATAAGGTAAAATGATGTTAACTTTGATCTGCCAAGGTTTTTGGCAAGATTCACTTGCCTTAGCTCTGGTAAAGAGAGCGCTCCGAGCCAGGACTCACAAGTGGCACTTCCGGTCAAGGCCTTCAGGCACCTACAGCCTTGAGGTCGCACATCCTTGTAAACGTGTGAACCCGTCAGGAAGCAAACCGAATCTCTGCACCAGGACTAGAGCTTGTGCTATTCTTGTCTTTAGGGAAATGCTTGGTTCAAACTCAAATACACTCAGAGACGTGTTTTCTTTGTAGATCGAACCATTCGACAAATGTTCTCGCCCTTTTCCTCTCCACATGAGAATCACGGCTTTTAGGAGTAGTTTTGGGGATTTATCTGGGGAAAGCTGAGAGGGGAGAAGAGCATAGGGTAAGAAGATTCAAATGGGTCCTAACGTGGCTAGCCTTGCCATTTGCTCCTTGTCACTAAGTGAATGCGTGAGGCATGTCTAATGCCATCGAAGGGTGTGACTTTTCATGAATTTTCATACTTTCTTTGCACTTGAAAGTATCGCACTTTAAGACACTTCTGCCTAAGCCTCAGAGAACCACTTACAAAGCGCATTGAAACAAGCGCAGCTCCGCTTTGTGTTGTCAGAGCTCAGGGGCCAGCCTGGGTGCTGGGGGTGCAGTTCCCTGAGGAGGCCCTGTCCCCTGGGGCGACCCTTTTCTTCCACACTGCTGGGCAGGGGGCAGGGGGCCAGGGGGCGGGAAGAAGGCCCCAGAAGCCCCGCACAGGCCCTTCCAAGGACTCTGCCCACCTGCCTAGAAGAGCTGCTCTCTGACCACTCATCCCTCAATCTGTGATGCTGGAAAACTGCCAGGGACCTCCAGCAAGCCCGCCTGCAGCAAGTTCACTAAAACAGCATCCACCAGGACAGGCAAACCCGCAGCAGCCCCCCACCCCCACCCCCAAGTAAAAAGGCCAGGGGGAGGGACCCGTTCCTGGGAGAGTGTGTGCATCAGTCCCTTTGCCTCTGTGTCCTTAGGAACAAAGGCACCACCTTCATTCCTTGGAAATAACTTTGGATCCACGTCAAACATCTTAATCACATGCTTGGTGCGTATTTCATTTGCCAGTGGGCGGGGTTAGCCCGGCGCCGCCCCCGGGACTGCACGCCCGCGGA